TTTCATAGATGCTAAATCCCCAGTTTCTCCTAAAGTCTTTTTTTCTTTCTAGAATTTTTTTTATGGAATCACTGTGAGCTACACTTACAAAGCTTTCACGTTTGGGTTTCAGTTATACAATGATTGAATACCCATCCCTTCACCAGTGTACATTTTCCACCAGCAATGTCCCCAGTATCCCTACCCACCCACCCCCATCCCCACCTCAGTATCCCTGCCTCTATGGAAGACAGTTTGCCTCTTACTTTCTACTTATGGGCATTATGGTTTGCGATACAGATGATGATAAGCCATCATGTTTGGTCCTTTGTCTATTTTCAGCACACATCTCCCAACCTGAGTGATCCCCCAACCATCATTGACTTAGTGATCCCTTCTCTATCCCAGCTGCCTTTTCCCCCAGCTCATGAGGCAGGCTTCCAACCATGGAGCAATATTCCTGGCCCTGTCTCTACTGTCCTTGATCGTTAATCTTATATAATGATATTTTGTATTCCACAAATGAGTGCAGTCCTTCTATGTCTGTCCCTCTCTTTCTGGCTCATTTCACGTAGCATGATACTCTCCATGACCATCCACTTATAAGCAAATGTCATGACTTAATCTTTCCTAACAGCTGCATAGTATTCCATTGTGTTGGTGTACCAAAATTTCTTTAACCAACTTGTTCTCGTACACTTGGGTTGTTTCCAGATTCTGATTATTGTCAACAGTGTTGCCATGAACATGCAAGTGCAGATGTAATTTCTACTATGCTTTTTTTTGCACCCTCGGGACATAGTCCCAGAAATGGTATAGCTGGGTCATATGGAAGCTCAATTTCTAGTTTTTTTAAGGAATGTCCATATCGCCTAAATTCTTCTAGTGTCTCTTTCATTTTTCAGCAAAAATACATCCTCTTTGGTGAGGAAGCAGGCGTGTGCCTTCCTCAGTGGAAACAGTGACAACAGTCTCTTGGGGGGTGGAGGACAGGCCATAGGAGGATGGCGAGAGCAGGGCAAAGGGTGGGTTTCTTACCTCTTGTGTTTCTCCATTCCCTTTCCACAGCCTGTCTGTATTCTACAGTTTGATTGAAGTCTGCCCTCATGGTCCAGTATCCCACTGCTTCCAGGAGAGGCCCCTCCATCAACTGTAACTGTGTTTCTCCAGCCACAGACACCCTTTCCTGGTCACCCCTGACAGATGAGAGCCCCACTCCTAGATAGTAACATCACTGCTCACAGGACCTCGGATGCACCCAGCCTTTCTATAATGCCTTGCCTAGCCTTGCCACAGGGGTGATCTCTAAACTGCACATCTTTTAGCAAATGTGTCAGTTCCCTAGACCATGAGATCTGTGAAAACTGGTATAGGGTCTGTGCTTATGTTTCTCTGCCCCAGATGCTTGGCAGAGATTTTGTTTGTGTGTTTGTTGCATAAATGCCTCAATTGCCCGATCTTGGTGGTGCTCTGTAACTCAGTGCCTTTTCTGGATTTTTATTTGTTTTAAAGCCACACACCCTCTCAGTGCTTGGGGGGCTCTGATAATGCTGAGTATGGGGTCAGGGGCTGAATCCAGGGATCCCACATGCAAAGCCTGCACTCAGCCTTTCTGCATCTCCCCGGGTCCTTTGCTGACTTCTGTTTTATGGGGTAAATCCTTCTGCAGTCTTTTCCTTCTAGATCCTTGCACTGTGACCAGGCTAGAAATCTGTCGAATTAGTACCATGAGTGTCTCTGCTTCTGCCCCTGCAGCTCCCTTCTCCAATATCCTTATATTTATTGTTGACATTTTCACAGCAGTTCCGCTCAGGTGATCAAGGAGCATTTCCTGTCCTGGTCCTCTTCCCTCCCTCTGCAAAACTTAGGCAAGGCACCCCAACGCTCCCTCTCAGGGGCTCCTGCTAGCCTGATCTTTAACGATGTGGCCAGTTCATCCCTTTATTTCTAGGTCCCTGATGTGTTTGAGGAAGCCTGTAAATTGAGTGCTGCATGAATAGAATGCAAATACAACTTGAGTGGGGACAGGATGATGATGCCAAACAAGAACCCATGATTATTCTTTTTTTTCCCCTTGGGTCACACCCAGCGATGCACACAGGTCACTTCTCACTCTTCACTCAGGAATTACTCCAGGCCGTGCTCGGGAGACCATATAGGATGCTGGGAACTGAACCTGGGTCCGCCGCATGCAAGGCAAATGCTCTACCCGCTGTGCTATGGCTTCAGCGCCAAGAACCCATGGTTATTCTTGTTTTCACTTTCCAGGTGAGAAAGCAGAGATTCAAAGAGGTGAAATAACTCAATGGGTATAGGACACACGGTTGGAGAGTAGGTGCCGGGGGGTGGGGAAAGCAGAGTAGAAATTCTCTTTGGGGAAGCATACACGCAGGCAAATAGGAGAGCCTATGCCAGAGTGTTGGAAGCCCCCATGGAGCCTTGGACAGCCCTGGGGAGGTCTGGGTCCTGGCCAGGCCCTAGTGGAGACCAAGAGAGCTGGGAACCGCAGCCACAGCCCTCATGATGGCTCTACGGAGACTCCTGCTCTCATTACACTTTTCCAGTGTTGTTCTTGCAGTTCAGCACGTAGGGGACCAAGCATTTGTAGCAACTGCTAATGACAGGGCTACCGAAAAAGATAGTCTATTTTGGGAGCTAAGCTTCAGCCTAAAAGAAATAAAAATAAACATTAAAAAAATTTTGAAAAGAAAAATATCTAGGAAAGACACCCCCAACAATCCCATCTCAACCCGCTTTCTCAGAAGGGTAGAGTGAGACTTGAATCTCAGGCGGGTGGTCAGGGGCACTGGGTGTAAAACCTGACCCAGCCATGAACTTACTTTCCTTTCGTTTTTAAAAATAAAATTTTAAATTAATTTAGTGTAGACAAATGGACAAATGCCACAACTGTGGAAATAATTCTAGAGTTGACTTTGGTATCAACTTTGTTATCTATAACAAAGCTCCAGTATTAAATTAAGTATAAAATCCATTTTATGTGAAAACTGTTATATTTTCATCACACGGTTGTTAAGTCCTTGTCTAAGAATTTGTTAAAATCTTTGTGCTAGTTGAGTCTTCTGTGTTATTGTTTTTGTTTGTTGTGTTTGGTTGGCATCTATGTTATTTTCCCATCTAAATCAAGGTACTCCTAACTGGAATTTCGGTATTGAGGAATTGGAAAGTGCAGCTGTGAGGTCCAAAGACTTCAAGCTCTATGATCTGGGCCAAGGAGTTGGCCTGGAATCTGGGGGAGGTGGATGTGGCTTCTGGGACTTCTGGAAGTATGGGATGGGGTGGGGAGAAGGCTCCCCACCCTGACTCCAAGAAGGCCTCAGAGTTCTCAGTCTGGACATTGAGAACTCAGAAATTATTTGCAGTTTGGAGTCTCTGCAGAGAATATTCATGAAGGGGTGGAGTTGAGCCCTTGATGTGACTGCAGTGGTGGGGTGTGGGTGCAACTGTGGGTGCTTCAGCAGGGTGGATCCTTGACCCACTCATCACCCAAAGGTTCCCCTGTGTTTTCAGCCATGGGGTTTGGTGTTTCCATGAATTTTTTCTGGTTGCTGTGCATCTCCTCAGATTTAGTCAGGAATCAGTAGAGCAAGGTGGTGAGTAGTGGGTGAGTCAACAAGACTGAAGCTGACTTTTCTATAAGATGCCACATTTGCCAATTCCTGTGACCCCAAAGAGAACCATAAGGTCATTCCGGGCTACTGCTGGTCTCTCTGTCTCCCCCCCCCCCACCGCATCTCAGTTCATAGAGTCAGTTTGGACTGTACAGAAAGAATTTAGATTTCCCAGGATTCATCTCACATAGCAGTCTGCACCCTTCCCACACTCCCAGTTCTGCCAGCACCTTACTCAAGCACTAGTGAATTATCTGCAGTGTTAACTTCAAATGTTCCTAACACATACATTGCTCTAGAAATCCCCTGGAAACGGTGTTCTGCAGATTATTTTTTTCCCTGAGCTCATTATGACAGGACACAATTTATAGGGATCCACTGAGTGAGCTTGGCCATGGTGGCCCCAGAATCTGGGCAGGAAACCAGCCAGTTCCCAGAAGAGGTCATGCATTTCTACTCTGCATTTTCCCACATTGCTGGCCATTGCCACAATGTGCAAAACGATGGCAGCTTTTTCGGCTCCATCGCTTCAATAAGGAACATATTGAACGTTGATTTACACTCAGTGTGGAGTTCCCAGCCAAAGCCTGGCCAAGCAAAGTCAACCTGGAGTCCTGAGAATAAAAAATTAGTGTCTATGTCTTTTAGATTTGGGGATGTTTGTTTTGGCAGAAAAAGCTCACTAATGCATCAATTTTTTTATGCATGTATGCATTTGCATGTATATATATGTGTGTGTATGTATATTTTTCAAAATGATTCTAGACTAGAAAGACACCATGTTTTTTGTTCTTTTTGTTTTTTTTTTGTTTTGTTTTTTGTGGGTCCACACCTGGCTGTGCTCAAAGCTTATTCCTGGATCTTCTTAGGGATCACTCCTGGCAGGATTTGGGAACCAGGGTTGTGCACTTACAAGGAAAGTGCCTTACTCCTGTATCTCTCTGGCCAATAAACCCTGGTTCTTAATTGGGATTGGAGTAGTTCATTCCCTTCCCTAGCAGTACAGGCACATGACCACACATGCACATACACATACATGCATCTATACACATTTCTGATTTAAGCCATGGGTAAGTGTCAAGAGAGATAGTACAGCAGGTAGGGCACTATGATATAACATTAGTTATTTATTCATAGTATACCATGTAATTCGCTCGCACGGCAAAGCCTGGCAAGCTACCCATGACATATTCGATATGCCAAACACAGTAACAACAAGTGTCACAATGGAGACGTTACTGGGCCCGCTCGAGCAAATCGATGAACAACGGGAGGACAGTGCTACAGTGCTACCATGTAATTAAAACCCCCTTGATAAATTTTGTAGTGTATTAGTACTCCCACTGACTTCAATGCCACATAAAGTGCTTTTCAGAGCTAAAGCTATCTCAGAATTGTCCATGTCATTCTGTCATGGTTTTACACTTATAACAGCAAAATCAGATGATCATCACAGATTTTCTTACATCATTATAATGTCAAATTCCATCACTTTGAAAAGATGATCGTAGATAAATCTCACAGGTGATCTTGATATGGTAAATGTCACTTCATTCTGCATATGGGGTCGGGTTAGAGCCTTTTCTTCTCAGATCTTGCTGAGCTCTGCTCTTCTGTGAGTTTAATCTTTGAAGCCCAGTAGGATCGATCACTGTCCATTCAGATTGGGGTCATGGGCCTTGAAGACCAGCCACACCAACTGGCTGCTGGAGGTTGTACTGCTGAACTGTGGCCAGTGGTTCACCCACTCACCCTCAACTACCCTTGGACTTCTGAGGGCTCATGATAACTCCTGTCTCACTGTCCTCTGATCATCCAGCCATGCCCTGCCTGCCAGAGCTGAGCTCCTTCCACCCCCACCTCCTATAGACAGGTTTAAGGTTATCCTGGACCCAGAGGGCCACATGCAAGGCAGCTCTGAGTTGCTCTAGGCAGCACAGGAAGCATAAAGGAAAGTAGGTTTCAGGCACAGTGGTCTGAGGCCTTCCTCTGAGTGGCAGACTTGCCTTCAGAATCCAATTCCTATTAGAAATTCCAAAGCCATCTCTGGAAGTGCCTGGAGAAGGCAGTGCTTACTGTCACCAGTACTTTCTGCCTCCGTTGCCCAGACACCAAGATGAGTCCTGGATCCTTACTCCCAGCTCATCCCAGAAGGTTCTTCTCCCAGATATGTGTCATGCTGTGTTTGAAGTCCAGAGGACTGATGTGCAAAGAAAGGCTGGACTCTGGTTTCTATGAAGAGATGGCTCGAGTACAGAGAAACCCAGTTGGTCTCCTTAGAAATCTGTAGCTTCCAAAGGCTGATGAGTGACTGCAAAAACATTTTATTGATTCCAAGAAGGAATTGATGTGAGATTTCAGAATACCTCCTCGAAGGCAAGCAGCCCTTGGCTCCAGTCAGGTGCTAATGAGCTCCCCAGCCAGTTACAGCTCGATCAGCATCTTCCCAGCAAAAGACCCGGGGCTGGCATGGAGGAGGGTGCCCTGCAAGGTTAGGTAGGAGGTGATTTGTGCAGATCAGCTTCCTGGGCTTCTACCAACTTCCCCCTCTCTCTCTATGTCTTTTGTTTCATTTTCTTTTTCTTCTCACAAGGCAAATCAAAGAGGTGGGTATGCTCTGGGAATTCCTCCCGTCTGGTGTTCAGATCTGTTTGCTTGTATAAATGAGCCGTGTTTCAGAAGCACGTTAACTCTCCTCCCTTGAAGGAACATGGCACCCAAGGTTTTGTCTCCTGGGAGCCTCACTACCCTCCTAACTACCCCTGTTCCCAGGCAGATTTCGGACTCACACATCATTGCAGTGCAGCAGTTAAGGCTTTGGAGGAGGTCATTGTTAGAAAGCAGACTTGGGCATCATGTAGAATGGTCAACTTTTCCTCTGCTAGACGCTGCCCCTTGTGTTTTCAAGCTGAGAAGCTAAAGAGATCGGCTCTTGTGTTTATCTACCCCAGCTTGGTCCCTCGTCTCATGCAATCTGTGTGGGCTAGTGTATCTTTAGCATCAAAACCACAGGCTGCGGACTAGCAAAAGGACCAGGGGTTTCTAACAGTCTATCCAATGACATAGTCTGTATATGGAATGTCTGAATTTCTTTTGTTGCTGGGACTGAAAAAAAATCACTATATATTTTCTTGCTTTTCTATGATATGCTTCACTAGCACCCATTTAAATTCTGGCCACTAAAGCAAAGATCTTTGCCCTGAGCATCTGACATTCAAGGAAAGGAAACCTGAGTTCTCACTTTAATTCTAATTCAAACACCACACCAAGAAACCTACCAAATCCCTAAGCATTAGTCAGCATGATCTTTCATCCTCCAGTGACTTTACCTTGGCTAGTCTCTCTGCTCTGGACCCGGGCACCTTCTCACTCTGTCATCAAAACTCAGTTTAAATGTCACTTTGCCTATGATGCCTTCGTTAGCTTCCCAGATAGAGGTGGATATACCTCCTAGCTCTTTGGAGCGTATTTCTTCAGAACATAGGTATTATTAGGTTTTTTTAAATTTATTTTTATTTATTTTTATTTTTATTTTATTATGGGCTGGAGCGATAGCACAGCGGTAGGGCGTTTACCTTGCACGCAGCCAACATGGCCGACCCGAGTTCGATTCCTCCGCCCCTCTCAGAGAGCCCGACAAGCTACCGAGAGTATCTCGCCCGCACGGCAGAGCCTGGCAAGCTACCCGTGACGTATTCGATATGCCAGACACAGTAACAACGAAGTCTCCAATGGAGACGTTACTGGGCCCGCTCGAGCAAAACGATGATCAACGGGAGGGCCTTTACTTTACTTTTTATTTACTCAAATATTTATTGAGCGGTCCCTGCAAGCCCAGAAACAGTGGTAGGCCCCAGCAAAAGATGGGTTCATCAAACTGAAAAGCTTGTTGTCATCCTGTGCTTTCTGTGATAGTATAAATGAAGAGCTGTGATTCTATAGCCCCATGAGGCCACTGAGCATTTATTTGCCAGATGGCCATTGTGAGTGAAGAATTGCATTTCAAATTATATTTAATATTCAGCCATTTATGTAGTCTCACATGGTGAATGACTACCTACCATATTGGACCACACCATTCTATTGGGAGAGATGAATATTGAGAGATTATGTAGCTGATATCTTATTGCAGATTTTAATTAGAGGCATGTTGCGGAATCAAATATAATTTAGTGCCTGGGAGATCTCTTTTGTGGAGGTGCTTCTCAGAGAGCATGGCGGTCAAGCTAAGATCTGGATGATGAGAAGGTGTCGAGGCACTGAATGAGGAAGACTTTTAAGTGAAGGGGCTGGTGGGTAGAAAGCCTGAGAGGTGGGAAGGAGAGGCTTGTTGGAGAAAGTCAAGTCAGCCGAGGTAGCTAGAATGGATTAACTGGATAATTGAATGCATGAGCGGTGGTAAGAGTTTGCAGTGGATTATGCAAGGCGTGAGAGGCCTGGAGGAGGATGGAAGGAGCTTAATGGAAGTCTTCATGTTAGGCAAGAAAGAGCAGATTGGGAACTCACTCCTGGCTGTACGCTTGGCATTTCTGTGGCACCCTGTTTCCTAAGCTCGCTGGGCTTCCGTCTTTCCCAAGCAGTGCCACTCTGGTGGTGAAAGCTCATCTGCATTCTGCTTCCATCCCTGTCTCCAGCCTGACTTATTTAGGCCTGTCTAATTTACGGAGCAGCTGTACACGGGTGGTGCATGCCGGTCGCAGCATTTGTCTCTGTGGAAGAGAAATACAACCATCACCACTGAAGCCATCTTTTCCGATCATGCCTTGTTGGTAGTTAAGATTCTGGGAGCATTTAGCACAAGGAGGAGTTGCGTTGATGACAAGTGGATCCTTCTGTAACCTCCACTTAATTGGATGAAGTGACAGTCCCAGCGAAGACTCAAATAAAATTTGGCACAATTAGACTGTGCTGAACGGCTGGTGCTAGAGCCAGTGTGGAAATCTTATAGCTGGTTCCTGGGCGCATGGATCAATCTGGTTGCACAGGAGGATCTGGGGGCTGAGGACCAGCTGTAAGTGTTTGTTTGCTTCACCTGCTCATCATCTCATCTGCTTTGAATTCTGCTGGTCTCTAAGGAATTCATAAAGGTGATAGCACTGAGGCAAGGGGACTATCTTAAATTGGGAGTTCCCTGAAAACACAATCCGAGATGGAGAGTTGGGTGCAGAGGTTTGGGATACAAATGTGAATATAATCAGAGATCTCAGGCTCAGGCAATCAACCCTAGAGCTCTGGTGGGACTTGAGAAATGGGTCTCATTTGAGCTCAAAGACCAGGTCTTTGTATTTGCACTGGGGCTAATTTCACCATATCTCCTTTCCTGGCAAACATAACCTTGAGCGAGGCATTCCCAGGGAAAAAATGGTGATGAGCAACCAGCCAGTGGCTTTCCCAGCACTGGGGAAGCAGAGGGCTAGAGTAATCACTGAAGAGTCTGCCTAGGCTAAGACCCCATGGCTCCTGGGGAAATTCTGACTATTCCCACTTACTGATTCTAGGAAACCTTCATCTCTTCCTTGCTCATCACTTCCAGTTCTCTTTACTCTGCCATGCACCTGCTCTGAGCAATCCATGGTGGGGCTTCTCTTCCTGAACTCTTCCAGTTTTTCCTCTCTTTTCAATTCTGTTGCCTTTCACACCTTTCCTGGTCTCCCAGCTGGCCCAATATTCCTGCTTTCTACTTTTGTTTCCTGTGTCTGATCACGTATGTCTGAAGGCAGCTTCTCAAAGCAATCCCCATTCTCATTAAGATTCTTCCCTGTGGTGCTGTTTCCCAGTCTTGAGTAGGGGACATACCCAATAGGATGGGGGTAATGAGTAGCCTCCTGGCCAAAGAAACAGAATGAGGATCTCAACTCTGTCACTTTTCAGATAAATGAGGCTGGGAAAGTCAAGTTTTCTCCTTGTCTACACTGGGGGGGGGGGGGGGAGGCCCAGACATGGATTATTAATTTTATGCCCCACTCTGAACTTTTCCATAAAATGAGCATAGGTCTGCTTATATCTTAGAACTGCTGGAAGGCGTTTATATTTCATGGGAGACCAGAGGACCAGGCTTAAGGTAGGGTTGGTCATGCTTGTCTTAACTGAAAGCTATATAGTCCACTCAGCTTGGCTCAATCCATCTTGCTGAAATCTCAGAGCCAAGCTAAGACCCCGGATGTTGAGGAAGTGGTGGTGCAAAGCCTTGAAAAGAGGAAACAGGATAGAACCTGATGAAACACTTTGCCTAGTGCACTTGTGGTTCTTTTTTGTCTTTGCTTTATTTTAGTCACTGTGAAATTTCAAAGTTATTTATAATTGGGTTTCAGATATTTGATATTTCAACACTAATCCCGTCAGGGGTCCATTTCCCTCCACCAATGCCCCTCTCCCCCCATTTGCCTCCCACTCACCAGTCTGCTTCTACTAGAGGTGGTTTCCCCCCTTTTGTTTATATAAGTATTTGCACTGTGGTTTACAATACTGTTGCTGATAGGGTTTCATACATAATGCTTTGTCACTTTTC